GCTCGCCGCTGTCTCTGGTGAAACCTCTCACCGCCCCTACACCTCTGGCTTGTACCCCAGCTCTGTATGCATAAATAAGCAAATCTTAAAAAAAAAAAAAAAAGAAGAAAGAAAGAAAATAGGAAGTTTGTATCCTAATTGTTAGAAATTTTGCATGTGTATATTAAAAAACCCACAAGAATTTAAATTTCAGGTGAAATAGATTCTAATAACATTTTGTTATCCTCACAGTTCAGAAATGCAAGTATTTTTTGCTCAGTTTGAAATCAACCTACTAAATTTTAAAGCTATGTGAATCTGTGTAGTAAACAAGACAAAATTTTTAAGACATATATGCATAGTTCCCCCTGCCCCATAAATACAAGTTTTTGAGATTGTAGAGTTTCTTTAAAGGTATTTACTATTCTAGTGAAAAACATATTTTGTTCTAAATCAATATTCATAGTAGTTGATAATTAACCCCTTTGTGTATTCAGCCCTATTGCCTTGTTTTATTTTTGTTCAAGAAGTTTGGTAAGAAGCATGTTTTTCTGATTACTTCTCTAGAGACTGTATTGAGTATGAATTACTTGTTTGTGTGATTAATGAAAGCTAATTGGAATGTAGTTTATAGCTTCGCCACTACCCAACTACATTTATAAAATTTTTAAGAGATAGATGGATTCATTTTATTTCTTGCATGTAATGAAAATAGATTTTGACAATTGTTGTGTAGCTATACTATGAGGAGTATTTATTTGATGAATCTGTTTATTAGGTATTCATCTGTTCTTTGTGGTATTCTCTTAGAGCTTTTCTGTAAGTTGGAAATGACTTCCAATTTAAAAGTTAAGTAATTTTACAATCAAGTGTTAATTTGGAATATTATTTAAATGAGAAAGAAACCTTAGAAATCACCTCTACCTCCTTCCTTTCCCATACATTGTAAGATATTGTGCTAGCAATTAAGGATCTATATTCAGTTGTATTTCTAATTCTGGTGATAAATGTGTGCTATTCCTATTACTTCATATAATTTCCCTTTTTGACATCTGAAAAACTTACCAAATTTATAAAATGCCTGGCAGAATGAAAAGTTACTTCTTAATGTGGCAGGTTTTCTTTTGATAGAATTATAACATTTATATTTTAGTTGAATTTATGTGAAGAATACAGTTGGTGGTAGTAAACATGAACTTTCATCAGTAAGTTAACATTTTTTGAAAATACTAATTTAAGGATGGTTGTTCATATTTTTGTTTGTGTCTTTTTCTTGTAGAAGTATAGAAGCTATATCATAAGTTGTGGTGTTCTTTGATGAATGCTAATGCTAATAATAAGTGGTAACAAAATCATAACTTGGAATAAATTCTCACACAAAGGATAATCAAATCACTGTTACCTTTAGTCAGATTTTAATACAAGCAGAAAAGACCCATTTTGCAATTCCTTACACCTTTTGTACTCTGACAATTAATAGTTATCCAGAACTAACTGCTCTAGTTCTATTATCCTTAAAAAGTGTCCCCAACATCTCTAGTTCTTGGTAAGTGATGCTTATAGACACACACAAACTGCCTTTTCAAGTGTTATCAAGCTGAAATTCAGGTGGGGATTTGGAGTGGTGTTAAAAGGATAAACCATTCAATAGCCATCATATATTTATCTTGTCCCAAACTCCCAGAATTTAGAATTAAAATAATTCATGTTATAAAAATCCAGAGTTATATGTAATCATCAGTTAAGTTTGTATTTTAGCAAGCATAAGCTGTATCAACTGTATCCATTTATTTGAATTGTGTAATATTTTTAAAATAAAATATATTCATTCAAGTGGAAAACTTCATACCAGGAGATGGATTAATAAGCGTGGCTTGTTTTTACAATAGGGAAAATAAATGAATCAAAACTACCATTGTCAGCAAAGCTGAAGCTCAGAAACATGTTGGCTAAGCAAACCTGAATATTATTGTAGCATACCACTTATATGAGTTCAGAAACAAACTACCTGTGTGTGTGTGTGTGTATATATAAATATAGTGAGCAATAAAGAAAACAAGGAGTAGCTGTTACCTGGATGTGGGAGTGGAGAGAATATAGGATTTTGTTAGAAGGGAACCAAGTAAGTGTCATTGCTTTTGCTAATATTCTGTTCTTGAAGTTAGTTGGTAATCTTAACGGAATTCATTCATTTTATACTTTATGATTTGCATATGCATTTTTATACTCTGATATGTATCAAATCACTTCTAATTGTAATAAGATAAATATTTGATGACTATTGAACATTGTATTCTTTTCACTGCTCCAAGAACTTTTCTTATTTTCTCTACCAACAAAACTTATTTTGATTAATCTTGATGCTGCAGTTAAACTTTCTTACAGAATCTCTAAATTATAAAATAAGTAATTATAATTTAGAATAGTAACTATAAGAAGCATTTGTGTTCTTAAGTATTCTACAATCAACATTTGTAATATTTAGTTTTATCATTCACATATGTTCCTCTAAACCACATAAACAATAAAAATAAAACAACAAAAATAGAGTAACTCTTAGTTTATGTAGATCTGCGTTAAATCAAACTTTGTTAATTTTTTTCACTTAAACATGAACAACCACTATTAATTTTTTATGCTTTTCTTAGGTACTTGAACTTTAAATCCCAACAAACCATTGTTTTCTAAATACTACAGGACATTAGTAATTTTCCCTAAGACAGCCTGACATACTTCCTTCAGTTCAAAGGCCTATCTGGTAGACTTCTTGGCAGTCCTAATTTGATAGAATAGCACACAAGTAAAATAATATAGTCTTTCCCTGTATAGAAAACCAAATTTTTCAAGTTCTTCTAGCTATTTGACCCAGAATATCTTACTAGTAGTCCTAGGAATACCCTTTCTAGGAACTCCTATATATTTTTATGAATTATATTCCCTCTGCTCTCACAGTGCATCCTCCTGTGGCCCTCTGTAGAATATTCACAGTCTCAAACTGATCTAGATTCTGATCAGCCTCCAGAGTTGCAAAAACAGGCATACTTAACATATTCTTAAGAGCAGTTATACTGCTTAAGCCAAACTATTCTTCCTGCTTTGGCATTATGGGAATTAATAGACTTATGGAGCTAGGAGGAGATTTTAGGAATTTAGAAATATGACATATTTAGAATTTAGAAATACTATGTATTTAGAAACAAATTCTAAAATGTTTCATTTATTCATATGGAGAATATGCTAAAGTTGTCTTCTAATTTTTTATAAATTTACCTATTAGAAATTGGATAGATTTGAAGCCTGCCTTCTCATTGTGATAAAGATAGGGGCAAGCTGAAGTATTCAAATTATCCTTATAGGGTAGGTCTAGGATAGGGGTTGGTGAATTTTACCTGTAAAGAGACAGATAATGAAAAATTGTAGGCTTAGTTGCTTCTAGAATTAGGAGAGTACAGCTCAGTGGAAAGCAAGGTTATTAGTAATTACTAAGAAAATGTATCATGGAAAGATCTGGTCTCTGTCAACTCTTAACCCTCCATGTATTTCTTTTTCCCCTTATCTTATTCTTCAAACTTTGAAACTGACTACTTCTTATTTCGCTTTTGTTTATATCATCCATTGTGATTTCAGTATCAACAAAGATGTCTCCCTATTTTCTTTTCTGAACTTTAGAATATTTTCATAATCACTGAGCTTACCTACATCATTTCAGTAACCCTACATCTCTATTAGTATCTGTTACCTCCCATGCATATTTTATGTTCCTGCTAAAATATTTTTGCTAATATGAACCCTGCATTTCTTTGTCTAAAAATTTCCACTATATTTAAACTACCAGTAGAATAAAGCTCATGTTGTTTTTTTGGATTTGGATAAAACTTACTCAACTTACTTTCTCCTACTAGTACCCAAATTGCCCCTATATTCCAGACAAATTATTCCCTGGTTCTTACATACTTCTTATGTTCTATTTCCATTTCTTTGTCACCTGTTCGTTCATCCTAGCTTTCCCCAATTCCAGTTTCCAGGTATCCCAAATACTGCATGGTATTTGATATTGTAATAATCTGTTTTTCTTTTAAATATCAAATAGCACTTTGTCTTATAGTACTAATCATTTTCCATATATGTATCGATGCTTATATTATGTCTCTTGCTAAGCTGTAAGCTCTTTTAGTCATAATTTTGTTTATTTATTCAAGTAGCTTTTCAGCCTTTACTACTGTTCATTTTGCATAGTATATGTTTAGTTAATATGCACAGAAAAAATAATTTGATCTTGTAGCAATTCAGTCAAGTAGGTAGGGCAAGAAGCATTGCCCTTTTAAAAGAGCAAGAAGCTAGCTCAAAGAGGCTAAGAGATTGTCCAAACACTGTTGCTCTGTAGAGCCAGGACTTGAGCTGAAACACTCTTTCTAATGCCTAAGTTAGCATGTATATTATACTATACATACTACCTCTCAGAATTGCTGAAATAAAGCAAGCAAAAGGGAAGATGTAAGAATTTTATGAACTGTGTTCAGGTTGAAAGCTTGTGATCTCTAAACTTCAAGAATTAAAATATATTATACAAATCCTTAAAAAATGTATTACTTTCTGTCATTTCTGAGAATAATGGTCATATGGAAACCTATTTGATTTCTAGAGGTGTGTATGTGAACACAAGAAGAAGAAATGAGAAAGACATTTTTAAGTTGGATTAAATGAAAAAAATAATTTAAGAGGTGGATGGTAATCAGGAACTACTTAGCAAGACTATAGATCCTGAAAGTAGAGCTAGGCCACTTGAAAGGAAAGCAGTCAATTTACATATCTACTGATTGTCACTCCTAAGAGGATGATAGCATGCCAATTTAGGGAGTCCTTGAAAACTTATCCTTTACTCTCTCAACACTGTCAATAGTTTTGGTTTTGTCAGTAACTTCCCTTCCCGCCCCTCAAAAAAAATAACATTGGATTTATTGTTTTTACTTACTAGGTTTGGTTATAATCCAGTAACACTTGTTTTTATCTTCCTTTACCAGAGGAAGAAGAGGAGCAGGTGCCCACTGATGGAGGTACATCAGCAGAAGCCATGCAGGTTCCCTTGGAAGAAGATGATGAATTGGAGGAGGAGGAAATTATTAATGATGAGAATTTCTTGGGTAAGAGACCTTTGGATAGTCCTGAAGCTGAAGAAATGCCTGCAATGAAGCGACCAAGACTGTTAAGCACTAAAGGGGACGCCCTGGACTTAGTATTATCGGAAGCTCGAGAACCGCTCAGCTCAATAAATACCCAAAAGATTCCCCCAATGCTTTCTCCAGTGCATGTACAGGACAATGCAGACCTAGCACCTCCATCGCCAGAACCACCAATGTTAGCTCCAGTTGCAAAATCACAAATGCCAACTGCAAAACCATTAGATGTAAAATCATGTACACCTAAAACAAAGACTAAAACTAGTTCTCCAGGACAGAAGACTAAATCACCTAAAACTACTCAGTCACCAGCAATGGTCGGAAGTCCTATTCGGTCACCAAAAACTATATCCAAAGAAAAGAAATCACCTGGACGTTCTAAGAGCCCCAAAAGTCCCAAGAGCCCCAAGGTTATATCTCATATACCCCAAGTACCCATCAGGCCTGAAACACCAAACAGGACTCCTTCAACTACAATAAGTGAAAAAATTAGTAAAGAGACTATTCAGGTTAAACAAATACAAACTCCCCCCGATGTTGGCAAACTAAACAGTGAAAACCAGCTGAAAAAGGCTGTTGTGACTGATAAGACGATTGACGACTCTATAGATGCTGTGATTGCACGTGCTTGTGCTGAAAGAGAGCCAGATCCTTTTGAATTTTCTTCTGGATCAGAATCTGAAGGAGACATTTTTACCAGCCCCAAGAGAATTTCAGGTTCAGAATGTACTACTACAAAAGCCTCCACTTCTTCCAACAATTTCCCTAAGTCAGGATCCACTCCTCTGCCTCTTTCAGGTGGCACTTCAAGTTCTGACAATTCATGGACAATGGATGCCTCCATTGACGAGGTTGTACGTAAAGCAAAAATGGGTGCCCCTTCAAATATGCCTCCCAACTTCCCGTATCTCTCTTCTCCTTCAGTTTCTCCTCCCACTCCTGAACCTCTCCCCAAGGTGTACGAGGAGAAAAACAAACTGCCTTCATCAGTGGAAGTCAAAAAGAAGTTGAAAAAGGAATTGAAGACCAAAATGAAAAAGAAAGAAAAGCAGAGAGATAAGGAGAGGGAAAGAGACAAAAGTAAGGAAAAAAGTAAAGAGAAGGATAAATTGAAAGAAAAAGAGAAAGAAAAGGAAACCAGCAAGGAAAGCAAGTATCCATGGAAGGAAAGTCTTAAAGATGAAGAATCAGATCCCTATAAGTTTAAAATAAAAGAATTTGAAGATGTTGATGCAAAAGTGAGATTGAAAGATGGAATTGTGAGAAAGGAGAAAGAGAAACATAAAGATAAGAAGAAAGATAGAGAAAAAGGCAAAAAAGATAAAGATAAGAGAGAAAAAGAAAAAGTGAAAGATAGAGGTAGAGAAGAAAAGATTAAAGTCCCACCATCCCCACTGGTTTTGCCTCCAAAGGAAATGGCCTTGCCCTTGTTTACTCCTGCTGCAGCCATGAGAGTCCCATCCATGTTACCTTCTCTGTCACCAATGCTTCCTGAAAAATTATTTGAAGAAAAGGAGAAACCTAAGGAGAAAGAAAGGAAAAGGGACAAAAAGGAAAAGAAGAAAAAGAAAGAGAAGGAAAAGGAGAAAGAAAAGAAAGAGAAGGAAAGGGAAAAAGAGAAAAGAGAAAGAGAGAAGAGAGAAAAAGAAAAGGAGAAACACAAGCATGAAAAAGTAAGCAGTTTATCATTTTCATCACTGTCTGAACAAAGTCCTATTGAAAAATGCAGGTAAACAAAGCCAACATTTATATTATATTTTAGATGTCAGTCACCCATACCTTAACTGGAAATATGTAACATGGTTACAAAATTTAAATGCTAAAACCTTGTGGTCAGATCCCATATACAATGAAAAATGTTAAAAATTCAGAACTTAAGAGGTATTACTATATACACTCTTTATTAACCATACAAATCTCTAGCAGCTTTTAAAATCGGCAATCTTAAACTGAATAATATTTTTGTAAGTATCAAATCTGCTGCATACTCTTGTATCTGAATATTAGACACTCAAGAAAAATCAGGATCCATTTTCCCAAGAGTGTGCAAAATTATGGCAATATTTTAAAATAGTGGGGCCAATGGAGTATTTCCTTACTGACTTGCTTTTCTTTTTTGGTGAGCCATCTTTGCAAGGATTCCAGGGTATGGCTGCTGCTTTCTTAACATCTCTTATCCTTCTGTTTTCTGCTTTAATATAATTTAGGACATATTTCTGAGTTTCTAAACTGATTTGGCAGCCTGGTTGGTGAGGCAGAAAATAACTCCAAATGTTTTACAGTATCAGCTAATCAGACTTTTGTACAGTACAGCCTAAGAAATTAGTATTTATCCTGCAGGTTAAATACCCTTTGAGCCTACAGGTGACTTCTGCTTTTATGGCCTTGCTCTCCTCAGTCCTTAGTTCTTTGGATTACAATAGTTAGCTGATTGATTTGAAAATTTCTTCTGAAATTTTTTAAAGTGCCTAGTACTTATGGTACCATATATAGAGATCCCCAGTGATTCTTTTTCTGCCCTTTAACAGCAGTCTCTTTGAGGTTCGCTCAACAATAGAAATAATAACCAGTAACTTCCTCCATAATAAAATGTCTGCAATTTGACTATTACCTATACATTTGTATTCATTTTTAATTTAAAACCTAACTAAAAGTGTTACTTTGGGTGTGAAGCAATGGTGGCAGTGCTCATGTGTGTTGTTGCTCAACTCCTTTTCTCTCTGTCACCTTTGGCTATCCTAAAATACATTTAGAATGGAAATTCTGATAATAATATGTACATTGTTAAATTAGCAAGACGTAAGTGCAATTTTTATTTCCATTTTAAAAAAGCACTTTATCATTGTTATCCTTATGTAGGTAGATTTCCACATACCTTATTTTCTCCTAACATACCTGCAGCATAGGTTCAACAAGTATCATTATCAACTTTATGGACAAGAAATTGAACCTGAAAAGTGACTTTTCCAAGATTTAGGTCACACAAACAGCAGGAGTCTGGTCATTTATTTATAGATATACCTCAAATTCAAAATATTTACTGCTGAATATCTTGCCTGGCAGCAAGTAGTCACTTGCTTATCTATCATAGACTTAGTAACTTGGCTGCTGAACTCTCAGCAAAATCAGACTTTTTTTATCGCCATCTTAACTTTGGAAAGTCAAGGGAGTTGTTTCAGCAGCACTTAGGAATTTAAGTAAATCCTAACAGAAAGATTTGTATGACCAACTCATACTTTTCCTCAACATCTTCCTTCTTTATGGTAGAAAAGCCCCTCAGAACACCTGTTAGAGATAAAGGTCCATGGCAATTTGTGCTGATTTTTCCTTACGGGAGAATACAAATCCTTGTGTCAGTTCTGATGAGTTATGCATCAGAAAAATGACAAGAGATAAAAATTTATAAGTCAGGCAACATATTATCTTCAAAAATAAACAATATTATCTGTTAAACCTGACTTTTAGCTTTGCGAAATTGGACAAGCTGCTTATGTGTGAAGCTATCTGAGATGCCACCTGAGCTGTGCTTATGACTGTATCTGGCACATAAATAAATGCTCAATAGTAAATGTGATGGTGGCAAGTTTTATTATTCTGTTGTGAATCAACTTATAAAGTGGAGGCTACCTTGAGGTTGAACCAGCTATGATTAGGAAGGGATAAAGGCTTGTGCAGCCCATGGAAATGCAGTGGACAAAGAGTAGAAATTGAAATAGTAACTTAAACATCAACCTCTCTTTTTTTCGACCCTACTCAATAATCTTAAGTATCTAGCCAGTACGAGTAAGTGAAACCTGAAATTGGATTACAGGTGGTATAAGAATTTTCTTACATATTCACAGAAGTAGAATAAGTACAAATAAAAATGAGTCATATGTAAGCTGCCCCAAGAATATGTCTCTAGTCAAAAAATTGAGAACCACAGTCACAGTCATTCTTTGTGTCATCGTGAACAATCCACAGAAACAACTCTCACAGACATTAACCCAGCTCCACCAACATGGCATTTTTTTTTTCATTAAAAAACAGGAAATCTCCCAATATTTACTTTACTTACCTGTAAACTTTTTAGCAGAATGCACACATTAACAAGATGGAACTCTGCATGGTAGATAGAAGACTTACGCGTTGGAATTCAGCATACCTAAGTTGGAGCCACACCAATTTTTTAGTTTCTTAATCCTGAGGTATTTCATTTCTAAAGTGAGGGTTGTGAAAACACTTCTTTAAAAATAGCAAAACAGTAGTTAACATTTATTGAGTTATTATTATATGCTGAACACCATGCTAAATACCATGTTGTATGTTAAATTTCTTACCACAAGTCTGTAAGGTAGCTTCAATAATTATCATCACTGTAGGATAAGAAACAGAGTTTAATAAACTTGCCCAAGACCACATACCTGGTAAGTGACTGAACAGGAACAATTTCAACTTAGGCTATCTGACGCTACAATATAATTGATGTTTTTAGCTACTGTACATTCCTACAATAAATTCAAAGTGTATTAAGTGAAATAATGTACATTGGTACCTGACTTGCTGATGTTCCATGAGAAGGTTTTGCTTCTACTATTTTATTTCTAACATTCACAAACATAGCCATAATAGCTTTGGCAGTATAAAACCTAACAGTTAATACATTTTAAGACAGTTAACATCTTAGTGTGTATGTCAATGTATTGCATGATTTAATTTATTTTACACCCTGGATCTGTAGAGCTTAGATGAATGTTTTAAGACTACTTTAATTAAAATTTACTCTTGGTATTTTTGAGTGTGTTTTAGAAGAGGATCATTGTAGAGGGAGCAGACAAGGAAAACTTTCTGATGTTGATGAAACTGAGCACTTGACCTTTTAGCCTTGAAGCCAGATCTATCTGTCAGTCTTGGAAATATATTTTTATGCTCTTATTTGAGTCTGATCATGATAAACTTTCAAAAAAGCATAACCTGTAGACAGGCCACACTGGCCCATGAAGAGCTTGGGCCTTGGCAATCAGATTGACTTGGATTTAAGTTCTAGCTCTACCACTTATTAGTTATTCATCAATCTCTTCAAGCCTCTCTCAGCCTCTACTTCCTTCCTCTGGCTCTTCCTCCTATTCAATGCTGGGAAGAGACAGCATCAATAAAAATTATGATTTACCTGAGCTTAAAAACAATAGTTTCCTGCCTTCTCATAGAAAATACTAAGCGAAGAAGTTTGTATTCTTTAGGATGAGTAGATCTAACTGTTCACAGTATAAGCAATTAAGTTTTGTTTATAATGGAAATTAATAAATCCTGCAAAGGTTTCCACAAATTTTTATCCTATTGATTGATGAATTGATGAATTGTTGTATTTTTGCTTACTTTGCTGTTGAATGAATCAACCCACAGCATAAGGCTGTTAGCAATAGCCACTCAGTGAGTGTATGTACAGGGCCAAACCTGGACAGAATTAGCTATGATTCTCTTCATCCTCTCAGTAGCCCTGGGGCTGTTGTTCTTATTTGACAGCTGAGAAAACTGCATGGAAAGGAGAGTAGCTTGCTGCAATGTGGCAAGTGAGTGGAAGAACAATGACTTCCCAGGTCTGTCCTAGAGGAGTCTATGTTCTTTATTACCTAAAGTGCCTTCTCAGTCAGACCAGCTGGACTGCTAATGAGAGGGGTAAGAATGGACCGATGTTCCAGAGTAAGGTGACATCGTGATTGTAAAACATTTAGTCCTTGAAGAGACCTAAGAGAGCTTCTGCTCAACTGCCATGTTTTAAAAACTTGGCAGTGGAAGTTCTGGACCTTAATGATTTCTAATCACAACAATTAAAATGGCTAATGTTTCTTTAGTCTATCCCCAAACCCTTAGCATTTGCCCCCGAATAATTTTTTATTGAACTTAGTTTGTTCTCCAAAGATTTATAGCTTTACTGGTTTGTGCCTTTAACAAAAGTGTTGGTGTTTTTTTTAAAATCATTTTTCTCTTCTTCTTAAAGTAATATAGCCTTATTTCCAGTCCTTCCTAATCATAATTAGTGAAATGAAGGGTTTTCAGTAATAAAATAATCCAGGAAAAAGGAGTAACTTCCCCTTCCTATTTCTTAAAATAGTTTGTTCTGAGAAGAAAGCAGTGACTTAATGTGTGTTTGAATTCATAGATGTTTAACTAAGGTTCTCTCCAAATCTTCATGTGAATGAACTCTTGAGTGCTGAATGAAAACCTGAGTTGCTAGTTGTCCTCGCTGAATTCTGCTTGTTATACCTCACCGCAAGTACAGGTCTTCTGATTGTCTTTTTGACATTTTAAACAATTTATTAGTATTTTATTACACTTTGTTTCTAACTGGCAAAGAAAGACCACAACATAGTTACCAGTCATCATATAGTGCAGCATCCTAATTTTCATGTTATTCAGTTCAGCTTTTCATCAGTACTATTTCTGATTAGTTTTCTAACATATTAGCACAGGTGAGAATTTAAATTGATGACTAAACTTGTTGCTACCCTACCTAGCACACACTACTTTTTTTTTTTTTTAATGAAAGAAGTTTAACATTAAAAAATAGAAAATCAAAACTTGGCCAGATTATATTGACAAAGCTGCCCATTACCTTTGCAGAAAGTCCCTGTCAGGAGATAAACTTTAAAGCTGGAATGCATGAAAGAGTTCCAAGATAGAATTTAAATTTCAACTGATTCTTTATAGATAAGCTTTTTAAAAATCCACCTCTTTGCTTCAAGTCAGGATTTTAAAAATAAATTTCCCCTTTAAATCTCTTGAGCGATTTTCATTTTTTGCAAGGCCGCACTGCTGGTGTCCTGGAAAAATGGAGAGTTAGAGCTTTATCAGTTGGTGCCCTGAGGTATGTGGCAAAGAAGCTAAATCCTTGAAGATTAGCAAAAAAAATGCAGCACATGGCAATAAGGGGCTTATATGACTACTAGTATTAGTTCAGGTGAAAGAAGTATTGCTTATACATAAAACTGGACAAATCCACTGACAATGTATTTTTAGTTAGCTACAAAGGAGTCTTATATTACTGGACTTGCCTCTTTGGTGAATTGGGAAGCTTAGTAATCCACTGTAAATGCTCTTCTGCGTGCCCCAATTCTTAGCATCACTCTAAAGTGCTGTTCTTTTATTTTAACCCTTAAAAGCTCATGTTGTCCCAGAATTTGTCTTCATGCCCTTAAAAAATAGCCTTAGTCCTGTTGTTTAAATAATTGGAGTAATTGTTATTTAGTTTACTGGTTTCTTAGACATGCACTTGAGGAATTATCTTACAGGGAATGGCTCTACTTTTATTTTGGTAGACATTTGGATAAAGCTTGTGTAAACAAAGGTCTAGTAAGAAATTATTCTTTCTATATCTATATTAGCATCCTTTTGGAGAATCTTTTCTCCACCTAATTGAATTTTATTAATCGTTTTCTACACTTCCTGGAACTTTTATCTCTAAGATAAGTCTGATTTAGCATCTTCTAGGTAGAACTAAAGTTATTTAAATATTTTTAGGTAGGGTTACTATATGCCTGTTTTACCTGGGACAGCCCCAGTTTATATCTGCTGTATGGTATAAATGATAGCTCTGTTTTTGTTCACTAAAATGACTCAGTTTGGGTGATGGGGTCATCTGATTTGTAGATAAAACTTTGAGCAAAGGTAATAGGTTCTGACTGAATTCACTCGTTAACTCAATAAGTTTACTAAACCTGTCTTTGAGGACACATTTAATACATTCTAGATGACTTAAAATATATCTCCATTTTTCCTGCTCACTTTTTACATATGGTATCACTTAACTTTCTTTTATAGTGAGCCATAAATAAACCAAGTCTTGATTCTTTTACCCTGCCAAACTACTTAACAAGAATCTAGTCAGTGTAGTTGCATGGAAGTGAAGGCAGACTTCACCTCAATTTTGTATACATTAGTTAGCTTTCCATAGAGAAAAATATATTTTCAACTAACCTTCACCATCTGACAAGTATGTCATTAATGATAAGAGACTTGGACATAGAAAATGACTGTCTTCAAGCAACATGTCAGGATTACCAAAATAAGAACTTAGGATGTGTAGCAAAGAGACAAGGAACAGTATGGTAGAGTAGGAGATGAATTTGGTGTTAGCAGATCTGGATTCAGATCATTTACTTGCTTATTTTCTCACTCTGGGCAAATATCTTTCTGAGTCCTCAATTCACCTTATACCTTTCACCTTCTACCCCTACCTTGTAGTAGTGTTGTGAAGATCAAATTGGACAGTATATAAGGGACATAGTCTCTGAGTTAAAATTATTATTTACTATGACAGAATAGGCCAAACATACAATGTGAAGCATAAGGAGACTAAAGGAGATTTTTTAAGGGAGACCCACTGCTTTTTTTTTTTTTGTAATGAAGCTGAAAAAAAAAATAAAACAAATCTTAAATAATAGTATTGTGGATTGAAGGAAGGACTATTACTACTAATACCTCATCACTTATGAATATGTCACTAAAAATTTTAGAATTAAAGAAATACAGAAAATGTATATGATTTTTCATTCTCTGATTAAAAAAACTATTACATCTTAGCTTTGTTATTTGTGTGACCTTAGAACAAAAAAGGAAAAAGAAAATGAGAACAGTTCTTTTATATATGATCAATTTTACCACAAAACAGAAACACTATCTCTTTACATACTACTGCATAAGTTTGTTAAGCAAGCCTAAATGAGAAGATTTTAAAAAGATAACCACACAATACCCGGCAAATAATAACTGGTTTTTAATTATTTGTGGCAAATTGTGTTTATTCTCCTATAGATGACACAGAAAGATGCAAAAATATGAAAGCCTTAATACACAAAATGGACAGGACCTTCACCTTCAGATGTGTTTAGATATGGATCTCTTTGTTAGGAAAATAAAAATGGAGAAAGTGAACACAAATCCCAGTCAGTTACACAAGTGTCTTGCTCGTCCCTACCCCAAGTGACTTTTAATCCCTAGGGCCTGAAGGAAGCCATTGGACTAGACTGTCCAAAGAACTGGACAAATGAAGGAAATGTCTGCCACTTTAGAGGAGCAGGTCTTTGTGGATAGATTGATATGTCAATGTTTAGATGGGATAAGATGAACTAGTTATAAAATGCTTACTTGAAAATGTTCAGATGGTAGCATTCTATCTCTTCTTAGGTTTAATCATTGCCAGTCTAGAGAAGGAGACTTTGAAGATATCACATATTTAAAATTTAGAATTGAAGTCTTGGGCATGGATGAGATAACTAGAAGAAGTTGTAGAGTGGCAAGAGGAAAGGACCAAGTCAGGTCAGGCACATGAGGAGGATTTTGTGGAACCGAGGATTTTGTGGAGGAGGATTTTGTGGAGGATGATGACACCCATGATGGAAAACTCTAGAGCAGTATCCAGAAAGTTTAGTGTCATGTTTGGGCAGAAGGTGGATGGTAATAGGTTGAGAAATGAATAATAAGCAAAGAAATTAGACAGTGAAGAGAACATGAATTGAATAATGAAAAAAATGTGAGTGGTTGTTAACTGGAACTTGAAGAGAAGGTAATCTTGTTTTTTATATTTTTAAAAATAGAGTTAAATACATTTAAAAGTTAAATGAAAACAATGAATGAAACTGAAAAATTGAAGGTGCTGTAAAGAAATAAGTTAAGAGGAAGTTCTTCAGAAGACTGGAGAAAATGTACTGTAATATAGTTATATATGCAGAGAAGTTTAAAGGGAGTGGAGGGAGTTGCCTAGCAGACCCAGTATTTTCTACAGCATTTAAAGAGGGGGAAAGGAAAGTAAAAGATGGAATGGGTCTTGAGAGAGTTAGAGGCTTGAAGTTACTGCTTCAGATTATTTCTTTAAATGTATCTTAAAAGTATTTATGTGTCACACCCTCTGGCTCTGAGAAGTAGCAGTAAACAAAACAAATACCTCTGCCCTTTTATAGTTTAGCTGATTATCTGGATGAACAATGTTGAAGGCAGAGATGAAATTGAAGTTATTGATAGCAGAAAGTTACATAATTTTTTACTTTTAAAAGAAAATGTGCTCTAGAGAATGATTTTAGATTGGTGCTATGCTGACAATTAAATAATTGAGAGACAAGAGAGTTGGGAAAGCTTGCAAGATAAGTTTTAATTCAATAAATGCTGAGTACCTCCTATATTCAGGTCACTATCAAGAGAATGGTGAAAGTCATAGATCTTGATGTGAGAGCATGGGCTAAAAAAAAAAAACTGTACAAGAAGACAACTAAATACATATGAAAAAATAGTAGGTTAGAGCAATACATAATATATTGTCACACTGTGAAATTTTGAGCTTTATGTTATATCTATTCCCCTGTAGAACCACTCCACTATTCCATTATGGTTTAATTCTTGAGCTTCAAATATATAAATCAGTGGTTTGCAGCTGGTTGTCACAGTGACTGGCAGTATACTGCTGGGATGTAGTGGTCCCTGGAGATGAAGGTGGCACATCTGGCAGTGCCTGGTACATTCAGTAAAGAACTGTCTCATCAAAAGTGCCAATAATTTTCTGCTGAAAAGTCCGATATAGATCATTTCAACTGTAGAACTCTTGTTTAGTTTGTTTATTCAAAATATACCACTTAACTGCTTACTGGCTCACTGTCAGGTATTTGTGAGATTTTCAACTTCTTTAGCAGTCATTGCCTTTACCATAAAAACTTGCTGACCAAAAAAAAAATTTTTTTTAATCTTTTTACTACAAGCCAAAAACAAAACAAGTTTACAGTAGGTGTTTTGGTTCTCTTATGTGATAATGCACTTAGGATGAGTGGAATGTTCCTCACTTCCCTCATAATGATGGATTTTATCTTACAGCAGGGACCTCATTGCAATTTTTGCTGTTTACACCGAGTCTGGCAGTTACTTAAATATGCCACTGAGTGATCTAGATAATTTTTATTTGAAATTTTGAATGTTGGCTAATTCAAGAAATTAACCAAGATAAAATGTAGAAATAACTGCCATATTTATATAAAGTGATTAAAGTTTTTGTAGCATTTCTCATGATATCAAGTAGATTCCAGTTGTTGAGAAACAGAAACATTGACTGACCAGGTTATCTTCTTATCTTGCATTTTAGCCATATTTGAACTTAAACTTGTTGATCAAGTTTGTGGAAGTGGGAGAAGAGGCAGGAGGTACTTCTGTTGAAAAAAAAAGTTTAACTCAAATTTATGAACTTTAACAGATAAAAGTGGAGCCAGTTGTTCCAGCCCCCAGTCCTGTTATCCCCAGATTGACTCTCAGAGTTGGCGCTGGCCAAGACAAGATGTAAGTATAAACACTTTGAATTAGAGCAAAATAAATTAAACTTAATCTTCTCTACTTTTTCTAATGGATTTAGAACTGTAAGGTTCATTCCAAATATGAACTTGTATGATCAAGCTTTATTTTGAAAATTCTTCATTTCCAAATGTTATTGATTTTTTCCTACAATAAATGTGTATTACTTTATTTAATATATAGGACCCTTTTCCTTTTTTTTTTTAAGACTAACAGAATATATTATTTCTATGTACTTTTTCAATTTCTGTTGTCTGAAGAGTAAGAAATATTGAATGGATTTAACTGCCATATCACACCCAGGTGGCTATAATGTTACACCTTACATTACATATTCTCTACTACTGCATATTCTCTATCTCTATAATAAAGAATGAAATTCTCCTTTTGCTCAGATGGCACATGGTTTTATTCTGTACATCTAGGAAACAAAGGATATCACTAGACAGACCTATTGAAACTGCTTAATTGTCAGAAGGGAAGTTTTAATTGTCTGCTCTACTTTAAAAATTTTTTTTAAATAATGACATACCATTATTTTACATCTTTGTTTGTTTTGCCCCAATATATAATTTCTCCCCTCAATTATGGGGAAAACCCAACACTAAAGAACCTGTATGCTACTACCATAGTCCATTGTGCTTTCCTCCTGCCTGTTTTTCTTCCCTCTCCCTTCTACTCCCCTTCCTCCCCTAGATACCTCAGATCTATGGTCAGTTTTCAAGTTTATCTGGCCCTTTGTTTTCTCTATATTCCACCTATAAGTGAAAACACCTAATATTTATCTTTTTCATTCTGACTCATTTCCTTTAGGATAATCCATGCCAGTTCCATCCATTCTACCATAAATGTCACAAGTTTATCTTTTTTGATCTTTCAGTAGTAGTTCACAGTATATACATATCCACTCATCCGTTTCTAGGTTACTTAGGTTATTTTCATGTCTTGATCATTGTAAATAGGGCTGCTATAAACAGGTGTGCAGTTTCCTTTTGAATTGATGTTTTTCTGTTCTTTCAGTAGATACCTAGAAGTGGCATTACGGGGTGATATGTCAATTCCATTTTCAGACTTTGGAGAAATCTCCACTCTTCTTTTCATAGTGAATCAGTTTACATTCCAACCAACAGTGTAGGAGTGTCCCTTTTTCTCCACACCTTCACCAGCACTTGCTGTTTCTGTTTTGTTTTGTTTTGTGGGGTTTTGTTTTGTTTTTTTTTTCTTTTTTGGTATGGACCATTCTCACAGGTGTGAGGAGGAGTGTCATCATGGTTTTGATTTGCATTTCCCTTATAAGTAGTCAACATTTTTTCATATTTTGTTGGTCCTCTGCATGTCTTTTTTGGAGAAGTGCCTGTTTAAACATTCTGCCCATTTTTTATTTTTTATACTTTTTTAAAGGTTTATTTAATTATGCATACAGAACTGGGTTGCAGGCCAGAGGTGCAGGGGTGGTGAGAGTATTCACCAGAGACAGAGTGGGGAGCAGAACAAGCTGACTGACAAAGTACACTGCTGTGGGGAGCAGTGGGTGGGTCAGGAGCCATGTGGGTC